CACATATTACTTATTTACATATTTATTCTAATTTTTTTATCTAATTTTTCTCAAATTCTTGTTAATATATATATATAATATTTTCTATAAAAAATTACATATCGTATTGTGTAACAAGATGTATAGAACAAATTTGTAATACGGTATAATCTCGGTAAATACTACTACTGATAGTATTCATGATACTCGTATTGAAGGATTTAACGTGACAATTTAAAGATTTATTTTCTACATAGATAATATATCACTGATATATATATGTGATAAATTATTATTATTTGAAATATAAATTAATTTTATTTCAATATTTTAATTTCACAATAACAAAGAATATTTTATTTATTTTTTCTTTGTTTTCATTCAAAATTATATTTAATTTTAATTAAAAAAATATAAACTTTTTACTGATCTTTATTGATCAACTTTTTTTTTGATTTTGTTATTATACTTAAATGATATACATATTTTAATACTGAAAATAAAAAAGGAAATGATTAAACATATGGTTATGGTTTAAACACGTTATCTTAAAAGTCAACTCAAAATCACTATACATTTAGTTGCACATTGAAATTTGTTTGCCCTGACCTTACTTTGATTTAAAAAAAAAATAGCTAAGAGAGTTCATATAATTTGAATGTTATTTTTTAAAGGTTACTCCGAGGTCACTTACATTTTAATTTACATATTAACTCTTTGACCTTTACATTATCTAATCTGGTTCGATTTATCTGTAAAATTAAGATCTTAAAGTGACAATATTTGAATAAAAAGTTGAATAACAAATACAGAAATATAAGTTTATTTATACAACAAAGTTAATTTATATGTGTCAAATATTTAAATATAAATTTTATAACATGTTTGATTTAACAAAATAAAATTGAACTGTGACAAATTTAATTTGATACGACAAAAAAAAAATTGTCAACTTACATACTTAATTTTATTTTTAAAGAAAATTCTTTCATCTTTCAGTATTATTTTGCATATTTATCATAGCATTAATTTAATTTATCATTGTACCTTTGCATTGCTACCAACCAATCTCGTAACAATTAATCAATGTCTTTCAAAAGAAAAAATATATAATTAATAATAACATTTTAAATTGTACTTAAAAAAGATTTATTTAAATTGAAAAAAATGTTTTTCTTACAATAATTATGCTTTGAAGACAAATTCATTTATCTCTTTGTTGCGATAATTTCACTTTTTAACACTTTTACATGATTGCCACATAAGTTTTACTATTATCTATTTCAACACGGTACACTGATATATAACTAGAGCTGGAGAAAACTTGAAATAAATCGAAATGAAAAACGAATTAAAAAAATTTCCAAATACTTTATTTAAATCGTGAATAAAGATTATTCACTATTTATCTTTGAATTCAATGTAAATAAAATATTTATATTTATGTGATTATGTGATAGGAATATAATAATAGTATAATTTTAAAATATTATGTTATTTGAAGTATTATTTAATATGCTATTCCTTTTATTTTTATATTTCTTATATTTGAAATATGAAATACTTCAAAATGATATTTGTACGAATTAATATTAAAATATACATATATTTGAAATTCTATTATTCATTTAAATATATCTATTTATTATTTTTCTGAAAATCTATTTCTCTCGATCTATAAATAACTTTATTAAGAAGAAAAAAATTATTTAAATCTTTTATGTTACGTCCATTACATCATATTATCGTACATATCGTTATTGTAACATCAAGTAAAAGTATAACTTTCACAATCGCTGTTTTTAATTCAATTTAAATTTATAATTAATTTCAGTATCACTTGATGACTTCCAAATTAATTATGTGTTACAATAAAATAAAAAAGTATCTCTGGAAACAATTAATATTCATTTAATATCCAAATATAATAATTGACAGTAAGACAATAAAACAGTAAGATATTACAACAAATAAACCGTTTTTATCCGCAAACTGTTGAATATTTTTGTTGAATATTAAATTTCGTCAATTTTAATTTATACATTTATTTGTATCGTGCAGAAAAAAAATAATATGCATTAAATAAATAAAACATTATCATTGAATAAAATTACATTAAAATAAAATTTATTACGAAAAGTTAATTATAATAATATTAAAAAACAATCAATTTAATACATATGGCATATGCAGAAATAATCTCTGGCGCGTCGTAGTGTCTGAATATTAATGCGAATCACACTGTATACAAGGTGACTTTTTTGAAAAATCGATTTTCGAAATGAAAACAAGCATAAAAATTGGTATACAATTCTGTAAAAATAAGACTTATTTATTAAGTTTTATATAAGCTATTTAAATTTATAATATAGCTGAAAAGAAACGTAGATAAAAATAAGATATCTTTATCTCTATTACACCGTCACGTCACTCATGTCTCCGTCTCGCTTTATCCAACGCCAACTTAAATTACTCATAACTTAATAAATAAGCCTCGACCGATATTTTTGTATACCAACTTTTCTCCTTGTTTTTACCTTTGGAATCGATCTTCCAACTGGGAATATGACGTGTCCCGTGAGTATATCAACATCCTGTATTGTAACAAACGTGCTACTCGAGTCCAATTCCCAGATAAGAAAACAGTCTGTCATACGATCGAACACGACACGCGTCATTTTTGTCAATATTGTTTACGCGTTATACGATTTTCGGATGATATGGAGCTCAAAATAACGGTGGGATGAACACGTGCCGCCATATTATCAGCATGGAGAAACGCGATCGATGGACGACGTATAAACGTGCGGGTTTCGATTCGACGGTTTCGGGATGATTTCTTATCGATGCACGAGGTATACGCGCGTTCGCAACACGTTTTCACAATCAGTGGCATTGAGAACAGGCTGCCGGATACTAGTTTTACATCGCGAGTTCGATCGAAGGCAAACGTGCATTGGGAAACGTGTGGAAATTTGGTTGAAGAAAAAAAAAAGTATGTAAAAACTTTACATAAGTATTTAAATATATTTTTATACGAATATTTTCGTAATATTATTTCGATTGTGGAATAAAATTGCCAATGTTTCTGCGAATGTTATATTTTGTTAAAATTTTGGTTTAAACAGTAGAGGAAAGAGATGGAAAATGCGAGGAGAAGAAAAATTGAAATTTTTTCTTTTAATGTTCTTTAATGTTCTTTTAACGATTATACGTTAAAGCGTGCATGGAAAAATAAAAAAGAAGTAAAATTTTTCGAAATTAATTACTGGTATTGATTAACTTTTTGTTTTTATTACGAAATATACAAAAGTATATTTGCAAAGATACAAAATGAAAAATACTCATAATCTTGTTTTTCTAAAATATATAAAATATATACATTGCTTCTATTCTTCGAAGCGATATTCTCGATATTCTTGATAAGATTTAAATTGACTATATCTTTTTTTGATTTTATTTATTGTGCTCAGAAATAATTTTATATAAAGATACGGAAAGACGGATACGTAAAAAATTTTCCTTTTACTAAAAAATTTGTTAAAAATTTATAAATTGAAAAACGAAATTGAACAAATTTTTCTTTTTAGTTCAAATTATAATTAAAGAGAGGAAGGAAGAAAGAATAGAGCAAAAAAAAACTTAGTGGAAAACAAAAAATAAATTATTGTACACTCGTTTTCGTAATGAATCCAACATAAGAAATCATCAAGCATTACTAATTTATATTTTTTCTTGAATGTATTACACTTTCTCTACGAACAAATGTTATTCAAATGCATAAAGCAACTCAATTAAGAAAGAGTTATTAAAATCTTTCCAAGATGTTGACCAAAATTTTCATTATAAAAAAATAATTCTACGAGAAACTATAAAGATAGAAAGTTGTGTGAAAGAGCATATATGTAGAACATACTGTATATTCACCAGTTTAGCGTGAAAGATTCCATTCTGAGAGAGTTGTAAGAATTATTCTTATCTCGATGACTAAAGAGAATGGAAGAAATGTTATTGATATGTGGAAAGGAGTGTTACTACTAAGAAACAAGTTGAGTAGGAAAATTGATCGATTTGGTTACTTGAATATATATTTGAAGAATAAGTTATCGATATAGCTTTGCATCACGAATATTTAAACTCGTACGTTCATCCAATATTGAAAAATTTTTTTATTTTCTATAAAACGTTTTCCATACAAGTTTTAATCTTTAATTTCAACGAATTAATTTCATAATAAATTGTAGAACTTTTAGAATTTTGAATCAATTTTTAATAAATTTTTAATGAATTTTAATTTTAATTTAATTAATAGGAACAGTCGTTTATTTATTTCAAAATATTTTCATTCGTTTGAAAGGGTTTTTATTTTCGTTAGAGTTTTTTTTTATTAAAAATTTAAATATTTTACTAAACTGATCATATAATGAAATAGAAACTTCAATAGATATTGTTCTATAAATATTCTTTTCAGATTTTTTTTTAAAACTGGATAAAATAATAAAAAAATCGTTACAAACTTATATATTTTGCATAAAAAAGGGGAAAATACGTTTGCTCGCGAAAAATCAGAGAAATAATGAAATTTTAATGTTAAACAATTTTTTATTTTTTACTCGAACGATCCCAATCTGAGAAATACTATTGATTGAGACTAATAATAAATAAATGAAATCTAAAGTAGTCGTTCCATTTGTTTAATCCTGTGATATACATGATATTCTATGATATATTTTTAAATATTAAGGTTTTCATTGTACTTGACTTTAAAGAATCTTTTAGAAATTTATGAAAAATAATTTATTTTGATAATATATATATATATTGCCTAAGTATTGATATTTCATTTATTATTGAATTCAAGGCTACACACACACACACACACACATATATATATATATATAAATTTAGAAAAATAAAATAATCTTTATTAATCTCAAACAGTGATATATATCGATACCCATTATTTATCATACGTACATTATTCTTGTTATTATCACTTATTACATTTAGAAATAATTAAATAAAATATTAAAACACATGATATTAAAAATTAAATATAATATTAAAAGAGATATAATTTCCAATCAAGTTAATGCTTCCAATAATCATATTATTTCTTGTTGAACTTGATCTTGCTTGCTCGTCGTATAACTTCTTCGGGTCTCTTTGAAGTTTAAAGGCTTCTTCATTGATGACGATAGTGATATTTGTCCTTACATCGATGCTCATTCTCGTGACGAGGCTCTGTGCAAATTTTACTGTTGTGCCCAATGGTACTGCAATTCCAACAGTAAAATTTGTCGATATTGTTCTTAGCGTAAATAGTATCATCTTCATTGTTCAACATCTCCAAAACGTATTCCGAAATGTGCGAAGGATTGCGTGAAGTCGTCATTGTTGCAGGCGTGAAGCACATTTTCGAGCCAGATGCGGCCGTGTCTTTTTCCATGAGTTAATGGGAAACGGTAGCAGAATATCCTTTGTTCTGAATTCTGAGAGGTTTTCCACTGCTACTCGGTGCCTAATGCCTCATATGTTTCTTTCAAAGACGGCAATTCTTCCCATTATTTGTTCACGGTAATCTGTCTGAGAAAAAATTAAAAATTTAATCTTTTTCCATTTCCTTAAGATAAGATAATTCAGTGTTGTCAACACATCTTCTGTGAATCATGAATCAAACGATTTACTCATAAATTTCGATTCGAATTTTCACGAATTTTTAATTGAAAAATTTCCGCCTGAAAATAGATGAAAAATTCTTCTCAGATGCGTCGTATCGTTTCTTTAAATATCTTGATAACTCCATAAACGTCCAATGCTAATTTGAAAATAGTGGATTCTTGCTAATAAAGATGAGAATTAGCGCAAAGCTAATGTATTTCTCATGTTAATAAAATCATAGAGTTAGAATTCGTAAAAATGATCGAAAATCAAGCTTCTCCCCAAATCTTTCATCGAACAAATATAATATAAGAGTTAACTACAATATGAGTTGCGATCTATCGTATATTGCTGTCACCAGTTTTTATTATGAACCGGAAGGGGTGTGGCTGTGTACGATTCCTTCAGGTTAGAAATGGTTAATCAGGTAAATTGAGTGTTTGTTAATTGCAATAGATAAGCGTTATATAGCTAATGCCGGGAGCTATTGAAAATGGTAAGCAATAATGGTCGTTAAACCTTGAGCGACAAAGGTATACCGTTATGGATTTACTAGGCTGAAGATTATTATTGAAGAATAAGATATTTGTATACGTGGAATTTTTATATTCATCCACTCGTCATATTTTTAAATATTCTTAAAAAATTCAATATTTGTGTTGTAAAAGTTTCTTACTAGTTTATTTTCTGCTCTTATGCTTTTCCAATGAAGATGAAAATTTTTGTACAAAATTTTACTTATTTGAACTTCAAATTCGAAGCTGAAAACGGATTATTTCTTTTTCCTTGCTGAAAAAATTGATTCTATATTTTTTCTAACTAATGAATATACGTAGAGTATATTACAGTTTAATGTTAATGAATACCAGCAGATGAGAAATTTTGAAAGGAATATTGAAATGAAGTTAAATTTCGATTCTGATAAAGAATCTAATTTTTTTAGATTTATTACTTATTTATCCCGATTTGAAGCTGAAGATCGATTATTCCTTTTTTTTCGTTAATTTTTATTTAAAAAATTGATATATTCGTTTAATTCAATGCTCGTTTGTTCTTCAAAAATGGCAGATATAAAGATTCCATTGTATATAGATATATTGTCAAATTGTTCAATGATCTACAAATAAATTGTCACCAGATGAATTATTTAATTCTTTTTAATTTTCATACAAAAAATTAAAGAGTAATACAATAATATATAATGTACTTACTATATGTAATTATTTAGAAGAGTAATTGAAGGAATTTTAATACTTGATATCGTAACAAAACTTATCGTTCAACTGACCCTTCTGAGCTCTTACAGTCCTTTTATACCCCAAAATTGGGGAAAAACTAGATAGAAGGGAAACTATGACCAACTTAGGGAAAAATTTTTCATGGGGAAATTTTTATTTTCCCGTTGGTCTCGAATTTTCTAGAAGCCAAGCTGTGCGTACGATCTTCAAATAAGGAATTTGTTTGATTTGATATACATCTATAAATAAAAAAAGTTTATGTTAATTTATATTAATCTTAAATAGTATATTTAGTGTGTTTAATAGATAATTGAAAAAAATTAAATCCTTTTGAATGGTAATAGTCTACGTTATCAAGTTTAAAAATATTAAGTTATTGACAATCTAATCATAGTATTATTAAATATAGAATAATTTTGATTAGTATTTTATTAAATTTAAAAAAAGATTAATTTAAAAATTGTCTTTAATATTAATAAAAATAAATGGCAATATTTATCTTATAGATAAATTATATGATTGACTCCATGATAAATTAAGGTTCTTATGAAATGATAAGGATTTAATCTTTTCAGTTTTTTCGATGTATGTTTTGGAATAATAAATTGAGATTATCTTACTTAGAATGTTAAAGTAAATTTGTTGGATAACAATTTTTCATTCCGTTTTCTGTCATTTTCGTATTTTGTGATTATTTATATACAATCAATAACGATTTTTTGAACGACCATGGAAAGGAAATATTTTCCATCAAAAAAAGGCATTTTTTGTAATCAGATAATCTAGAATAGAAATGAAATTAAAAAATTAAAATTTTTTTTTCTATGAAATAATAAGTAGAGATGGAAAAAAAAATGAATGATGTAATAATAATAGAAATCAAATAAAAAATAATTAATATAATTCTTAAAATATTAAAAAAATTATAATTTATTAATTCATTAAATATTATTAAAAAATTACGAATGAAAAATACAAATAATTATCCGATATAAAAATGGTTTAAATATCCGTATAATATTGAGATGTAAGTAAGAAATTTAACATTTATAAATAAAATTATATTAAATTATATAAATACATAATATATCATCTGTAAATTCTTGGAAATCTTGTATAAATTCTTGATATAAATATTCAAGTGTGTCAGTATTCGAATCATGTTAATTATGCATTTAGATTTAGATTTATTCAATTTATGTACATATTTTTCATACCATTCACGCAAGGTAACCAAATATTAATCTTATTTATAAAAATACTCGGAACATATTAATAATTGTAATTATAATTATTTTATTATTATAATCATTATTATATATATTAATAAATTATAAAAAGAATGATTTTTCTGTTACAATATTAATAACTTATTTATACTATATATATAATTGGATATAATATTGAATATAATAAAAATTCATTAAAATATTTAAATATAATTCAAAACTTAAATTAATGATTTCTTAAAAAAAAAAAAACATATTATAGATAATTAGATAAATATAGTCTTTCGAGTCTAATTTGAAAAATACTTTATTGAATTTATCTAATAATATTTGAGAAAATTTATATATATAGACTTTAATAATTTTAAATTCTATAAATTCAATAAATTTTCGATATTATTTTAAACATTATAATTTCCAAGAAATTAAAATTCTAAAAATATACATTTTTTATTGTACAGACATTTTAATTAAAAATAAAACTTTTATTACTTTTATTTATTATTTATATATATATGTGTGTGTGTGTGTGTGTAAAAATTATATTATTTATAAAATTAATATTATATATACATACATTCTTTTTATATATTTTGTGTTTCTACTAATTTCTTTTATAATTATTTCAATTTTAAAGTTACTTACCTTTTACAAAATATTTTAAATGATGAATTGTAGTGATCTTCAGAAATATTATATATAAAATATAAATATCACATATAGAAATTATCATATTAAAAAAGTAAATTTAATTGTCAAAACGAAGAATTCGTACTGCTAGATAAAATAATACTAATTCTCCCGGAGTTCTTGTAAGACTGAGGCTATCTACACAATAGCAGATATCCATGCTTGTAAACAAAAGTGATCGTAAATCACATCATTAACGTGACTTCGAGTTATGTTTATAATCAAACGACGAAATAAATTTCAAGCAAACGAAATCTGAACAACATTCAGCAAAGAATAAATTTTGAATATCAATAATAAATGATCTTGATTAAATTGAATAATTTTAGAATATTATATAATTCAATGAATTCGTAACTGGGCTATATACCTATCCAAATAAAAATACAAATTCATTTTTTCAAAAATGAAAAGTTTAAAAGATAATTATTTGAACGACTTGGAATAGAATAAAATTATTGATATTGATAATCATAAACAAAACTTATTTCCAAAACCTAAAAAAAATGTTCAATTGAAAAATTCTTAAAATATAATTAAATTTTTTTTATAAGATACATTTCAAGATACCAAAGAAAATTTCGTAATACTTATTTTTTTTAATATTTATTAAAAATATATAAAACTTTCATAAAGGACAGCAAAAAAAAAAATACAATTTTAAACTCGTTCAATTAATATATAAAATATTCGTAATAATTAAAACTGACCAAAAATTTCTCGAAACATAGTAATAAAATCTAAACTTTGTCAAATCGTTTAAAATTTAATAAACTTCAACCAACACCATCGTATTCTAATCTTTGCGTTCGTTCTCTAGAAATCGAGAATCCCATTCAAAAGCACAAAATTAATTCTTCAGAATATATATCAATCCACCAACTAACGATCATCCAATCAGATCTAAATCCATTAACGGATTATTAACGCAAAACTCAATAACAAATTCCTTAAAAAAAAAAGAAAAAAAAACGAATTATTAAAAAGATTATAAACATTTGTACCACCAACCAAATTAACAGCCCACCTTTTAAAACTTTAAAAATCTTTTCGCAGGGACAAAAGAGCCGTCGAGTGGCTCCACGCCTCCACTTAGAGAGCAGGCGCATCCAGTGGCATCCAAGATATATTTTCATAAAGGCTGAGAAACGATCGGACGGGCACTCTCGCCCATGAGAGGACTTGGAGCACAATCCCAATCGAGCCCTAATCCAACCACGATCGGGGGGAAGAAAAGGGGTTATCCGTGTTAGTGCGCGTGTCCAAGGGCGTCGCCACTCGCGCCACTTCGTAGGGCGGCGCACAGGGACCGCGGTAGTCGCGGTGTGGACGCGACCCAGTGCTCGTGTTCGCCGTTGGAGGATCGTTGGCTTGAGAAGATGAGCCTGCCGCGCCGGGAAGTAAGTAAACCGCTGGGTGATTGTGTCGGGGGCGGGTTGGCGAGGGGGAGGAGGCCGATTCAAACGTCCCATGGGCGGTGGAGGGCGATCGATCCGACACCGGGATGTTCCCCGTGGAAAAACACCAAGTTTCCTCGTCGCGTGTCTGAAAGCCTCGTGGATACCACGAATGGAGTCCGCGTGTCTGCGTACAGCGAGCTGGATGGAAACGTTTGATCGAACGTTGGGGGACGATGACTTGGAGGGGAGGGGGAGGGGGAGGAGGGAATATACGTGGTGGATATACGTGGTTTTTGGGAATTTATGGATTCGAATGGACGTGAAAATGGTTTTGGTAGATGGTGATTGAGGTTCGATTGAACTTTGTGGACTATGTAGATGATAATTTGAGGGGAAGGGGGAGCTTTAGATACGTGAACCTGATAGATGATTGAAGTTTGTGGACTATATTGGATGGTGAGTTAGAGAGAGAGAGAGAGAGAGAGAGAGAGAGAGAGAGAGAGAG